ACCATAATCCAACAGATGAAATCGCACCAGAAAGCACTATACTTATTCAAGAGCAAGACGAAAAGTTGGCAATCCGCATAACCATAAATTTGATATCGGAATTGAAGCGTGCCAGGATCGTGTCTCTACGTTTCGAAAAAAATTTACGAGTTTGTATTGACGGTAGGTGAAGGTCATTACGGGACATGAACTTAGACACCTCCCATAAAGTCCGTAACTGGGTGCCACGAACGTGATGAAGGTACAAATGGACGCAATAACATCACACGTTCTCGTTGCAATAAACAACAGAGTTTAATAAACGACTAAAAAATCAGATCGTGTCTCCCGACTTGTAACGTAGTCAAATGACCGGACACATAATTAACATATTAAAATCTCCAACGGAAGGGGAGTACAAACACCGTCCACAACATTGATTTTTTTAAGCACGCATCGAAATAACCACGGCTGAACGACCTGATAAGTGTCCAATTACATTTGGGGACAAATTTATTTGTTTGTTTACCGGGAAGATGTTTATTAAAAATTCAATTTCCATCTGAAAGCTTTACCGTCTTTTTATTGCGTATTTTACGACGAGCTTTCTCTCGATTATTTTACCTGCGTAGGTATCGTTTCGTCTCGTGCGTTACGCCCATTCAATAAATATGTACTCCCTTGACCCACTTCCTAGTTTTAATCAAATCTAAAGAAGATTTTGCCACGTCAATACAGATATGCTAATCTAAAGTATCTAGTTTCTGGTCACGAATTATATAATTTCTATGAAGTGACAATTGTGAACTGCATTATGGATGTTCAGAAAAACTCGACCGGGAATACACTGTGCCCAAGATAAGGATATGTCCTCGGATATGTCGTATCATATTATACTACCATAGAAGATACGAACAACGATGTACAAATTAGAATAAGGAAGGGCTATTATCAATGCCTTCAAGAAAACTAGAAAATTCCAATAGCTTCCGAAGATGTTCGGTTTAATTTTGTCATTTCCACTTTTTGAGCTCTACCTCTACCGAGATACCGTAGAGAAATGTTCAATACAACGTTTCATTTCGGAGAAATCATCAACTTTATTTTTTTATATGGCCCATAAAAAAGTACACACCGTGTTGAGTAGAATTTTGTATATTATGAATACGACAATATATCGCACAAAAAAAAACAAAAGTTGGAAACTATTGGTTTCAACAGGATGGTGCACCCGTGCATAGCGCCCTAATCGTGCGAGAATACATCGGAGAATAAAACCGTCACTTCGGAAACTCCTCTTCTTTATTACCGAGTTTATTACCCACACACTTAACTTATTTAAAGTTGCCTATTTACTCTCTACCGTCGTACTCACAATCTCTCAATTCACCTAACTTTTTGCAAAGTTGCGTCCAAATTTGTTACGCACCGGTGTTACGTTACGATGTTTTGTCGCATGTCTGTACGCGCCTTTATCGCAACGACCGACAGTCTTAAAATTAAATAAACTTTTACAAACGCCTAATATAATTTTAACAAATGTTTCTTATCTTTCTCTAATTCAATTTTCCAAGAAAATGAACAAATGACAATATGTATAAACAAAAATCAGTTAACGTCCAATTTACACAATATAATATATATGTCTCAAAATTTGCGTGTCTTCTTCCTCTTCTTTCTCGCCCACCTTAGAATATAGAAAATAGGGCTTTACCTAGATTTTTGAATATACTCTTATCAAGAGCGTATATTCAAAAACCCAGGATAGCACATTACTTAGCGGAGATATAGAAAAATTCCAGCTAGACGAAATTGATATATATATACATACATATGTTTCATCATGAAAGTAAATCGACATATGCAATAATAGACAATGAATTTTAATTATGCGCGTTGTTAAATCAATAATCTTCTACCCACACACTAATCGCCCACCCTGTATACAATGTATAGACAAAATTTCCAATTTGTATATATCTTGCACGTTACGGTCGTCTATTCGCCATTATAAGAGTGGAAAATGTTGTTATAATACACTTTAAATCATTGCAAATCGATTAATATAATTAATTACAAATTCCAGTGTATTTGTATTTTAAAAATAGCCGTGGACGAGCATACTCGTACAAAATATCAGATTCTCGTAAAAATACACGGTGTAGGAATCACTATTGAAATCCGATGAAGAAATTATACGGCAGTTATTACCTCCCAAATTTGAAAAATAATAGATATATGAGAAACAGCATGCTGACAATAAAATATAGTGCAATAACCAGAATGTAGTGTATCGAATTTGCAAGATATCCAGGCGCCATCAAGTCGATAATAGATTCAAAGCGTCATCAAATCGAAAAAGGATTAACACTGGCGATGAGGAATAAAAACGAATGCGAATCATTCTTTTCTGTGAAGTATAATATGCCTTCTAGGTTCAAGAAGGTTAATTGTTTACGATGTAAATTGAATTGTGTTTAGTCTCACTCTTAACATCGATGCCGTAGTGATAAATACTGAAATTTGCGCTCGTATTATAAATGAAGTGTTTTAAAAGTGACTGCAAGTAAGCTGTCCAAGTAAATAAGTGTCCCAAAATACGCTCCTAAAAAGAAGGGGGGATTGGGAAGGACCTTTGGATTATGTCCTTTGCGGAATCGTTATGAGAAGAAAATTTTGGCCTTAACAAAATTTGGTATCTAGACATGAGAGTGTATCCAGCAGTCATTTTTGTTATCCGTTCAATAATTGCGTTTTTCTTTCGAAGTTTCATGGTGAAAGATTCTGGATTCTAAGTTTATTTGAAACCAGGTGTCAAATTCTTGACAGAATAGCTTCCTAGCTGAAACCAAAAATTGCCAACAAACGTACGTACGTACATACAGACGGAAAAAATAAGAAAGGTGCATTTTTACGCATGCATTTTGTTTGCTTTTATTAGAGGGACCTACCATCCAATTTTCGTTAAAATTGCTCCATAAATAAGAAAGTTGGATGTTGCACATGCGCAACTCGATTTTTTGCGCATGCATTTTGTTTTCTTTTATTATGAGGACCTACCATCCAAATTTCGTTTTAATTGTTCCATAAATAAGAAAATTGCATTTCTGCGCATGCGCAACACGATTTTTGCGCATGAATTTTGTTTGCTTTTATTAAAGGGACTTACCATAGAAATTTCGTTTAAATTGCTTCAGAAACAAGATCGTTGCGTTTTGCACATATGCAACACAATTTTTTGACTTTGACAATTTTTTTCTCCGTTTTTTGATAATATAACCCGGCCCAATTTTTTGTAGGTTGTACACAGGAAAATAAGGTCTTCCAAATAATAGAATAAAAATTTTAGGTTGCTATTTGAAAAAAAAAGTTCGATGCCGTTACGGCGCTCCAAAATTTTTTTTCAAAAATCCGGCCCGTTATTTTTCTGTTCGGTATGCCTAAAACATATATACAAAATTTCAACAAAATCCGTCGAGCCGTTTTCTCAGAAAATTGCCAACAAACGTACGTACGTACGTACATACAGACGGAAAAAAATTTTATTCTTTAAAAGTTGCTTAAAATGGCCTAAAACGTCGACATTTGATGAAATTTTGAAATGTTCAAAAAACGGCTATCGCAATAGCTACCTAGCACATGCTAGGAAGCTAAAAATATGCTTGATTTTTGGTCCTATGTATTGTCAAATTTCTTTGAAATACTTAAATGTTTCACCTTATATAGACACAACTACTAATTCAGCTTTTCTAATGTAGTAGTTAGGTAGATGAATACGTATCTTGAGTTTCTTTTGCCGTTAATTATAGAGATAAGGTTCCTTTGCACCCCGTAAGCCAAATCTCCACGACAAACGACCAAGGTTCCTTGATGAAGGTGCAAGACGTCTGCATTGACAAAATGTAGCTTTATATATGAAAAAAAAATTCTTCACTAACGTGCCAGACAAGGGTAGGAAAGGGTGCAGTTGGAGAGAACAACCAGGTTCACTCACATACTATTTCTGTTTGAATATCTTTGAGTCCGTAATTTGGTAACCATTACCTTTGGCATCTTAGAAAACGAACGCAAAAAAAATAGACGTAGGACCTTGCGATAACATTTCATGTCGGCCCACCAAAAGAGAAAGTGACAATACCGCCTCTGTTTATATGCAAATTGCTTATGAGTCAGGTGTCTGTTATGGTTAATTGCACAAGATACGTGTTTGTTATGCAACATTTACAATAATTATGGACCAATTCCACAGGTTGGCGTAAAATCGATACGGCTATTATGGGTGGCGTTACGTAACCGCCTCCTAGAGTTTAATTTTTTTAGCGTGTGAACCCTTTAACGCGTTTTAAAGTTCCGAAGCATGAGATCAGCAACCTTTATGTGGCCTTATAAATAAAGGCTGTGTGAATGCTGACATACAGAAGGGTAAGTAATATCCTGTTCTCGCGATAAACACAAACGCGTACCCATCTCAATGCTACACAAGCGAAGATCGAATGCGATGCAGGTCAGTGACAATAAATACTGAGCGATAAGGAGAAATTATACGATGTAGGTTGTTAATCGTTCAATTGGCCGAACGTGCACTGACCCTAAGCGGTCGGCATCCTCAAGGTCTATCGTGTTTGATTCCTAGAAAATGAAATAATTGGCTACCAACCGGTAGAACCGTGGGGGTGTTACTTTCGACAAGAGCAATGATCAATTCGACACACCTGACAAACCTACCGCTTCGCAACCACGACATTATTGTCAAAATCTTTATTTGCATATCGCCTACTAAAGATGTGATGAATTGGTTATTCATGGTAACAATGCGACACCCATCTTAGTGTCGGTCGGTAGTATTCTTAAGTCCATTGTTTATAACAAAAGCACTGAACTAGCTCTTGATTTATTTGTTTGTAAGCATGCATTGTGATTTTTTGTTGTACATTCCTCGCAGTTATTGTTGAGGTGCTCTAATGAACAACGAACTGACGCCATTTCTTTCGATAAACACTAATTTTGATGTATCTTTACAGGTGAGCCAATCGAGTAGCGGCGGTGGCTGTCTATAATCGATTTTTGGATAAGGCACAATTTGGAGATTTACTGATTTACAGCTCTTGGTACGTAAAGCACAAATTGGATATGGTGAACTCATTGTTTTATAAAAATGAGGATCTGTGTAGTTTGCCAAAATTAGGCTCGTCCATTCGGATGTAAACGCATCGATTCTTTATTACCTCTTCTAATGGACTATTAAATCTTTTGTCGTCCGAGGCACAGGTCTTACGTTATGGAGCCTAGTTTAGCTTCTACCAGAGACGTAGATTTCCGTGCAGCATTTCAACAACTGAAAAAATAATTACATAAAGCTAAAAAAGCGCATTTTAGAAAAGAAATCTTGACTACTTCAGTACCTACACTTCAATGACAACCACCAAAAAATTTAACTTCTTCTAAACATAGAGAGATTGTTTTATTTATATAAAGTATAATCAGGACCTTGAAGTATAAATACGTTGTAATGTTTTTGTAAACTGATTTTTTTACTTTTTTTGCAGATTGTTTTAAATTAATTAAAATATTTTGTTTATTCTAAAAAAAAAATTTTTTATGTCAAGCAGTGTTTACAAAAGTATTATTTCGCCTTTTTAAATATTAATTCCTGAATATGTATTTTAATGCTAACGTAGGGTTTCCAAAAAAGTTCTCATTTTACCGTACCGCGGTTGATCATAAATCGTCCAATCGCATAGCCTCATCACAACTTTAAACCACTTTAAATATTCAAACAAGCACATTTTCCTTTAACAAACTATTATCATAGATGAATATCAATGAAGACGTTTCTATAGGGTGTTTTCCAATAAATTATTTGACCAATGGAATTGAAACTATCCGTTGTGGAAATGAAATTTGTCTTTTTTTGCATGTCGTTAATTTCTGTACAGTGTGCATTATTTTCTTCATGGGTGCAAGATGTTTGGAGACGAGATGTCGGGGATTTGGATCATGTTTACGTATTTTAATTAGGGCGATTTGATTACAACTGCATGATATGATTCTCTGCATCGTGAGGAAATGGAAGTGAAGCAGATAGGAGTCGCAACGTTACAGTGTTGCCGGTTCTAAAAACAGTCGCGACAGCATGAGAGAGGCAATCTTCGCTATACTTACCTATGTATAAAAAACCGAGTAAACGCTTGTTTTGCGGTGGGTTGGTGTCAGAACTTCCAATCGGCGAATAGACCAGAACAGATTTGGTGAGAGAGCGGGATTCTTACCCCACCGTTTAGCGTTACCGTATTCATAGTTTGGTGCATTATTGTGTTAAGGCGCTTAAATAAATTAATATGAAATCGTTGGGATTCCGTTGCCCCAGATTTTTAGTGGCAAGTTACGTAAAAATTCAATTTATTAATCAAGGTTGTGCATCCAATTTATTTATATGAAGTGCGAACAAAATTATGAACAAAACGGCTACCGGTAAAAAGGTTAAAGACAATTAGTTCAAGCTTCTGTTTGCTGTTAAAAACCCTGCATTACAAGGGTCATTTGTGACATTTACACAGTGCGGTAATTTATAATTAATGTAAACAACTCAAAGTTCACCCATTTAAATCAAAGTCCTGAAGCACGGTGTGTTCTTGAATCAAATTTCGTCAATGATCTTGCGAAATTAATTTTTAAGAAGTTGTTACATTCACTGTGGGTAAAAGTAACAAAATAACCTTGAGATAAGATCAGACAAAGTAGAGGCTCATATACTAGCAAAAATAAGCAAAAAAGGGAAATGTAGTAACAGTAAACGGGATAGGCGCCACCTCGGGCGCCACTTAGTCTTTCGCAAATTTCAAAATGGAGGAGAGAATACTTACCAAAAGGGAAACCAAGGCGGACTAAGAGATCCTTGTTCTGGTCTTGAAATGCTAAAGGAATAAGACTTGATAGGGATAGAACATAAACAATAATTAACTTCACAATCGAGGATAATTTAATCAATGATCTCAGAAATATTACAAAGATGTCACTGTAAGAGCAAGATCTGCTAAGTCAATATTTGAAGTTTAATTAATTTTGAGTAAAAAGGGTATCAACACGTATTCAAAGAAAATATTAATATCAAAACCGCCTTCCGCAGAAACAACGGAGCTAAGATCGTTAAGTGCACCTGAAACAAATGTAATAATTACAATTTGATTGTCACGAAAACCAATATGTAATCAAATGTTAAATCAGGGAATCGACGAAAATAGCAACATTTTCGCACCTTGAGAGAAAGGCGAGGCAAGTTGAAACCCTAGAATTGTTTAACTGGAAAATACTAATTCGTAAAAACGTTTATATGGAGTCACCAAGACCAGTGGCGGATTTAAACTTTTTGCGCCCCTAGACACACCGAAAGATATGCGCCCCAAAATAATCTTTACAAATTGCAATAAATTTTAAAATAAAAATCAAATTATAACATGAAATTTTTAAAAGTAATAAGTATAAAAAGAACTATCTACCAATTCCAATAATTTTAATTAAACATTTTTGTCATTTATAATTTGTTAGGGGACTTATTTTAAAACTTAAAATGTTACCTAAAATAAGTATAGTGCAATAAATGCCGCCCCTAGGCACGTGCCTAGTGTGCCTATATGTAAATCCGCCACTGACCAAGACATCAAAGAGAAAGGGAAAACCACTCCAAAGATAATTCTGGTAAAGCCAAAAGACTAACACCTTTTCAGGCAGACGCGAAGCCAGATACATAATAGTTACCAAGAGACATCTAATCAACTCGTCGGCAGAAACTTTACTAAAGAGGAAGAGAAATACAACTACACGCAATAAGAATTAAAGAAGAGATAGCAACGACCTCGGTCGGCGACACTAATAACTATGGCAATAAGAAATGTATAACCCGAAAGGCGAAAATATAGAACTAGGTAAAAGAATTCGACTACAAGAAGAGCTACCTTAAACTAGTGGATTACAAAGAAGATATGGCGTAAGTATTAGCGTAACAGTACTAAATAAGGGCCACGAATCGAAAAGTGGAATAAATTAAGGGAAATGTTCAAGCAGGAAAAAAACACGCGATCCTGTATTTTCCTAGTTAGAAACAAAACTATCTTTATAATGATTGTTGCATAATCTGCCGTTTTCAAAATAAGTAAACGGGGCCAGGAAAAAAAGTTACATTCACTTTAAAGAGACATTTTTTGATTTTAAAGAAAAACCTTCACCCCAAAGATGAAGAAACGCGCAAAGTGATTAATGTCAAGTAAATTTAGATGTTGTTAGATAAAGTTTAATTTGATGAATTTGAAAGGATTGTAGGATGATTCGCCCCCGAAAATTCGCCCCGGTAAATTCACCCCTGAAAATTCGCCCCCGGAATATTCGCCCCCAAGTAAATTCGCCCCCGGACTATTCGCCTCCGTAAGATTCGCCCCAGAAAATTCGCCCCGGAAAACTCGCCCCCAATTAAATTCGCCCCCGGACTATTCGCCTCCGTAAGATTCGGCCCGGAAAATTCGCCCCCAAGAAAACTCGCCCCCGGACTATTTGCCTCCGTAAGATTCGCCCCAGAAAATTCGCCCCCGACAATTTCGCCCCCGACAAATTCGCTCCTGGAAGATTCGCCCCCGGCGATTCCGCTCCCGTAGGATTCGCCCCATAAGATTTATTAATTCTGGGAGGTAACAGGGCTAGCAGTTCATAAAATGAATTTTGCTTAATTTTAATTTTTTTCTAATAACTGTGTATACCTACATAAAGGGGATAGAATAATAGCACTCAAATACCTGTTAACTAAAATATGAATAGGTAATTAACATAAGGTTGAATAAAGTAAGGGTGATTTGCAAAGGATTTGACATCCAAAGGAAATAAATCCTATATTCACAATGATTTAATGACTTCTATAATTTCAGACATGACATATGGAAAATCCACTTTAACTCTTGTATTACAAAAGAAGGTAATATATAATCTAATTTAAATGACATTTTTGATTGACCGAGTTGTTAGTTAGCTTCATTTCTTCCTAACAGAACGTTTGATGGCTCGTTTGGTCATTGGTGGTGAAACTTTTTATGTTCCTACTTGTTATATTTTGGCGCGAATACGAACTTTGATTGTTGGTTAACGATTCTACAGCCTTTTTTTAACTTTCGGATCAATACTTGGCTTGAACACAGATTTTGAGTTTGGTGTATACCCGTGTGAAAAAATAGTTTTGAGTATTGAAGAAGATCGGTTTCACGTGGTGCTGGTAAGTTTTGTATTATTTTTTGATTAGGTAGTTAGATTTACTTAAAAAAAAGAATTTTGTGCACGATTTTCTAAGATTTTAACTATTACAATCCTAATAGACGAAGAGTTTATTTTATTGTAAATCAAACACAATATTTCACCTTTCGTAAATACAAAAATCTGAAAATCAAACTGACAACAGCAAAAAAGGAACTCCTTATGGCATCAGTAATAAAAACGTGCCTGTATTGTCATTTTTATACATAATAGTAGAACGCAAAGTATATACTAAATTCATTGTCTTTTTAAGGTCTAAATTTTTGATAAATGGTCAACGTTCAACATTTTTTATATTTTTATTTTTTATGGCATTTGCACATTTTTTACAAAAATTCTCAAATTTAAGGCTGATCCGACGGGCTGAATTTTAGTACAGTAAAATAACCTCTGAAATGCGGCAAAAAAAAAATATCTCAGTATAACTAAATGAGATATATATCATCTTTTAGGGAATTTTAAACCCTATCCCAATTAAATAATTACAACTTTTTTTAATAGGGCACATTTTTGTAAATTAGCAAAATGTAACGTTTTGGAGGCGAGTCAATATTCACGTTTTCATTGATTTAACTCCCTCTCTAAATTTTATTAATTGAGCTATAGCTTTCAAATTTTCAAAGTTTATAGAAGAAAGTACAGCGCTCATGATAGCAATTCAATTTTTTCCGTATCGCTAACAGTTTTTGTTTAAATAATTGATACACCACGGCACCGACAAACTGTATTGAAAATTTCGACATGCGAGCAACTTGTTTAAATAATAAAAGTACGTAGCTATATATATCGTACCAAATAACGTTAAAACATTGAAAAA